TGGCCAAACGGCGATCAATCTCAAGTCTCTTTTTACCAACGCCTCACGTTCCACTTTGATCGAGAACTTTCAGTCGGAGAGCCTGACAAAGACATGGTGCTGGGCATCAGCACACCGTTTGTCGTGAGTTCTCCTTTGCCGTTGTTTCCTTAAACCGCCGATACCTTCCACTCCTTGTTAATTTCACCTCCCTTAATTTGTCGTAGACAATGGCGTCCAACATGGAGGCAGGACTTGGACCGAGCGAAGGCGAATACACCTTATTGACGTTCTTTATCGAGCCGAAACTCTTCGTGGAGACGACGGTTCACAGGTACCTCTGGGGCTACGTGGACGCCATCACCGAGGCTTGCAACACGCTGACCCCGGAAAAGTGCCCTTTCTTCGAAGTCGGCCTTATGATGGGCGTAAGTTACCTCCTGCTGCTGGGCCTCCATGAGGTGTATGCCTTAAGTACTACAGACATTTCGGCAAAGTTACTTAGTGTATAAAACTAGTGAAGAACGAAAATACTGAGCTCATGCCCAAAGGGTTGGGACGCCGCTGGCAAAATTACAGCGTCAAACAAGCAACTCACCGAGTTGGTGGCGTTGGGTTCGGCGCCGTGCTCGAGGAGCAGGTAGACGATGTCTGAGTGGCCCTGCTGGGCGGCCAGGTGTAGCGGAGTGAAGCCGGCGTTGGTGGAGGCGTTCACGTTGCAGGTGGGCAGGGCGATGAGGAAGCGCGCCATGTTGAGGCGTCCGGCGTAGCAGGCGGTGTGCAGCGGGGTGTAGCCGGCCACGGTGACGGCGTTCGCCTGGGCGCCGGCCGAGACCAGCTGCTGGGCCACCGTGACACGATCCTCCAGGGCCGCCAGGTGCATCGGAGTGACTCCGTTCTGTGTGTGTCGGGGGAGGGAAAGAAGGAAGGAAGCAAACGATTTAGTCACCAAAACCGGCATTTGGTGTGTGCGTGTGCGTGTAGTGGGTTAAAAGCGACCGCGCCTGAGTGAACCCTGGTTACTGACCTGACGGTGACAATGACTCATCCCCTTTTCCATTGGTTACTGTTATCAGAAGCCTCACATCAGCTCACTCATCCACACACTAAGACACACTTGGCCTTCTGTCACCTCTCTTCACCCCATTCTCGGGTTGTTACGGGCTGTTAACTAGAGGGTTGTAAGGTAGTGCTTAGACCCTGGTAACTACATATGTACCCTTGTTATGATGCCTACCCGGCATCATTAGCTATAGGTTTAAAAAATTCTCCACGCTTAGATGCAACATATGGATCCAGGTCATTTTCACGGTCTTTGCTTGGTGTCAACATAAGACCGCACAAACGACTCCGTGCACCTTGAAACAGATTGTTGTGAATCGTGTTTATTCACATCCCTTAATCCGATCGCTTCGCCTCCGACGCAGGGTTCCCCTTTTTCGCAGAATGGCGCCAGCCGCGCGAATCCTCAACTCCCCCCTCATTAGCACGGATATTTATCTTGGATTATCCTCACGCCTAGGTCTCGATGTTAGCGCAGTTATGACTCACGCATCTGAGATATAAATACACACGCGCAAACCCCACAGACCACCAAGGCTTCGTCAAGTTCTCGAATAAACGGTTGACTCTCTGTCCTTCCACCGACCTGAGCTTTGTTGGGCAGTTAGTGATATATGGCGTCTCAACAAGATGATGACCAGAGGGTGCAGGGGCTGGTGAATACGGAGCGAGAGCCAATCTCACCCAAGAGATCGTGGTGAAAGACGATACACCCTGTGTTGACCGCTTTAGATTCAAACCGCTTTCGAGCGACAGTACCTGTGATTCAACACACCAGCCGATTGCATAGTAGGAAAATGTCAGCGTTTTTCCCTCAGTCCTTGTTAGCTGCTGAAAGCGCGGTGATTAGCTTTGACAAGGTCACAGAATGAGGGCCACTGCACACACTAACTCCAAACCGATCGATTTCGAACCACCATCTCGCCCTGTCGCCAGCCAACCATGAAAGAGAACCAGCTTTGCATTTTGTGTGGACCCAGATCCGAACCCATGCTGTATCCTACCCCCTTCCGTGGTGTTTACGTGCACGTCAACGGCAGACGACGACGGTCATCAAGCCTGGCAGACCACCCAGACTCCAGTGCAGACGTCCAGGAAGCTATAACGACGGTAGCAAACGCACCTTAGCTTTGTGCTCAACATCCGCGCCATTGAGCAGAAGCAGACCGACCATGTCCGCGTTGCCCTCCTGTGAGGCCAAATGGAGCGGCGTGAAGCCGCCACGCGACTCCCGATTGGTGCTTTTCTTGGGGTCGCGGTCGTTGGCCAATAGCAGTGAGGCGAGGTCCAAGTGGTTGCGTTTAGCCGCGATGTGCAGTGCAGTGTAGCCATTACCAGCCTAGGAAAGGGTAAAACAGCCGAGCATAATGTGCACTGCCTACTAACCGCACTGGTAAGCATGACCAAAACACACTACTTATACTGTCAAATAAGTAGTATAGATACATTTTCTAGCAAGAGACTGGAAAACGTGTCCACGGGCAAAAGACAACCAGCACTGCAACATTAGTCGGAATTTCACTTAGTAGCATTGACAGGGGGTGGTTGTGCGTGTCCGTTTGGCGTTTCAAAATACCAACAGCAATTCCCTGGGACAACTTGACAGCAGTGCGTAACTTGAAATTAGTAAAAGCAAAATAACGGAAACAAAGCAGGGGATGAGAGTAATGCCAACCTCAACTCCCTTCCGGATAGGCGAGTGCGCACGTTTGAGGCGCGGGAGGAGGGGGGAAAGTGTAGCTATTCGTCGTGGCAATTCCGCACAGCCCCTTGTTTTACTAAACTGATTTTGTTGGAGCGCTATTCAAAGGCCCCCCAAAATGGCGTTAAGCGATTGTATTTGGTGTGCATACTTACAGTTTAAAATTGACTCTTCACTCTACTTACTGCCGTAGCATGGGTGTGATCGCAGGCAATCGCTGCCAGCCAAACGATGGATTCACGTCCACGCCAACGTCGAATGAAGGTAAAGCGGTTGAGAGAGAGAGAGAGAGGAAGAGGAACCACACCCAGTAAAAAGGGGTCACACGGGGTTACAAAAAAACTCACCGCCAGGAAACACAGCCGACTTTTTTTGCGGACATGTGGAGGAGGGGGGGGAATCACTCCAGCTTCAGTGAAACGCAACACACGAGGAAACGCAAGTAGAGCAGCAAGTCCGGAAGAAAGCGTGTTTTTAGAAGTCTCCAAATTTTCGTGCAATAAACCAGGCTCAAAACCGCTGTGGCATGGTGGTGCGTGTACCGACGTGATTTCTCCAGATGCCGTTGAACTGCTACCAATGAGGACAAGTGTGTGTGTGTGTGTGTGATTGCTGGCGACATCAATAACCACACTGGGGAATACGGCGTGCTTATTAGACTTAAATACTGCCACTCATGAGGTGACATCTAACACACCACTCGTGAATTCCTGCTGATGAAACCTGTCAATGGCAAACTGGAAGAAGAAGAGAGGTTTTGGAATCGGATGCGCGTCAAGTGACCAATTGGTTAGGGGCATTAGATTAGCGTAGACTCAGAGACA